TCTGGAGTAGGTGGAGCTCCCTGGACTGAGCATCTTTCCGGCTTCCTGCTTCCTTCCTAGCTGCTTCCCCTCCCCTTACTCCCTACCCTTGCGGCCAGGACCCTACATCACCATAGCGACACACACCATTGAGCTCACACAGGCCCTGTTCGAACATCACATGGTCTGGAGGCGGCCGTGCCCTGGCCACAGTGCCCTCCCTAAGGTTGGCAAGGAGCGGGGATGGGGATGGGGCCAGCCCAGTTGGGCGTCAGCGCCTCTTCTCCCAGTCACAGCATCAGAGCCGACCTGGCCTGGTCATTCACTCACTCACTGGTCAGCTGGAGGCTGGCACACACACCTCCAGACAAGGTCACTCTGTCAGAAAGGTGGCACCTGTCCTGGCGCAGCTCGACCCCCTCAGGGTGTCCAAGTGTGTGTGGCAGGACACTGTGTGGACTGTTCCTCTACCTTTGCTCACTCTCTAAACACAGAAAAATCTTCCTAACTTTGGAAAACAGGAGGAGGGACTAAGGCATGAAGAATTTTGTTAAATACTGGGTTACCTAAAAATACACACACACACACTAAAATCCACAAATAACAAAGGCTGACTACCTTAGCTGTGATGGCCTGCAGGAGGCGGGGTGAAGGCCTGTGACCCTCCCTGTACCCACCTTGCTGGTGAGCGCAGCAGGCAGAGCCTGTAGAGGTCGGGGTGGGGCTGGGAGGAGATTCTCGCCTCTCCCAGGAGCAGGCCCAAGGGCCCTTCCTGCTCTGAGCAGACCCCACCTGGAGATGCGGCCTGTGGGGCAGAAGTGGATCCTCCAGACACAGGCCTCCAGTCTTGCAGCTTCCAGGATATGGAGACAAATTTGGCTGCGTGTTACCTGCCAGGTCTCGGTCTTGTTGCAGTACCAAGGTGACTGAGGCAGCTGGCAATGAGATGAAATCTCCTGCATACGCATAGATCTTCCCGCTCACCTAAAATCTCCTCAGTAAGTAAGCCTGCAGCAGCATCCGCCAGCTTGTACACACCATCAATCTACTGAACAAAAAGCTCCCGATTCTGCTCCATTCTGAACAGCTAAGATAATAAGGCATTACACTGATGGGCTCCACTACAATTATTTCAGTTCAACTCAGCGTTTTCTTTTGTGCTCTGTATATTTTCAAATCATTTAAATATTCCTAGCCGGGTGTAGTGGTGCACACCTGTAATCCCAGCACTCAGGAGGTTGAGGCAGGAGGGCTGCTGAGTTTGAGGCAACCTGGGCTACACAGTGAGTTCAAGGCCAGCCTGAACTACACAGCAAGACCCTGTCTCAAAACACAAACAAATAAACCATGCACACAAAATCTTCCTATAGAAGGAGGAAGGTCCTACTTCAAATTTTCTCTGGACCTCATGGGAGGTTCCTTTTGTTCTCTTTACCATGAGAAGGTCCCCAGCCGGTGAGGAGGTCACCCCACCCTGCAGGGGTGCAAAGGAGGAACAGCAGTGTCCATAGGGTACCACCTGTGCGCGCCACATGCCCTGATAAGTGTCCGTCAGAGCCAGGTTCTCAGTGTTGTCCCCCGAAACGCGTGCAATTGGCTGGACTCCGGCTTGCGGGTTCAGTGTTTGGGGAGGGCCTGGCACGGGCACAGACACTCTCATCAGCGCTGTGACAGGTGAGGCTGGGTAGGGTCCTCAGGCTCAGCCCTGCACCTCTCCCCACCCTCTTTGCTTCCCTTGGTGCTGGGGACAGAGCCCACCCCGAGCTGCAGTAGCCCCAGGCTCTGTCTTGCTCTCAAGAGAGCAACATGGGGTCCCTGGAGAGTGGCACAGTCCTCTCTGGGCCCCCTGGGCCCCAGGGCCTAGAGGTCACCAGCCCCACATCTCAGAGGCCCACTTCCTGTCACAGCAGCATGTGGGATGACATGAACCTGGTCCCCACTGCAGCCCTCACGCTTTCCATGCCATCGTCTGGGTGTGGGGACAGTGCCAGTCTCCTGAGGCCGGACTTCCTTTGGGTCTGCTCCCTTTTCATCCTCTGACCCCCATCTGCCACCCTCAGTGACAGGAAGGGCAAGGGGCCAAAAAGGAGACTGCAGCCCAGCAGGGAGGTTGAAAGGAGCACAGATGGGGTTTAATTACTGCACCTATGACTGGATACTGCGCCTGATGGGTTCTGGCCACCTGGGGACACACCCACCTGCCGGTCTCCCCAGATGCTCCAACCTCCAAGGCCACCTCTGTGTACTGACCTGTCCTTGTTTACTTATATTTACACAGTGCCAGGTTTCTCATAGAAGGGAAACTATGAAGCCTCTGGCTTCTCTTAAAACTGCGGCCTGGGATCTCACCCCAGGGTACGTGGTGCCTCAGTCCTGGGGCTGATGTCTGTCGGGGTGCAGAGGCTGTCTGCACAGCCTTACTGCTGGGAGCTGCACTGCTAGGAGTGTGGGTACATGGGTCTCCGTCCCCAATCCTTCAGAGACACCCGGAGGGGCACAGCTGGACCATCTGAGGACTCTTGGATCCCCACAGTAATTATGCAGGTCTTTGTGCCCACCCCCACTCCGAGGCATTTGCCACTTTCCGTGCCTGGGACAGGATTGGATCCTGGAGTTCCGGTCCACATTTCCCCAGGGCTGTGGATGCTGCACACCTTTTCACACACTCACTGCGCCCGGCTGGTGCTTCCTCTTCTGAGCAGCGGCTACTCAGCTCACCTGCCCAGTGCTGGACTGGGGCACTTGTCTGAGGGAAGCCCACACCCTGAGTTCCTCATCTGTTCCATTGTTAGCCTCTAACAGAAGAGTGGGTGACAGAGCTGGTCTCCCTGTGGGCTCTCTTCACTCTGTGGATCGCCTCCTGGACTGTGCAGAGACTTTTCGGCTTGATGAAATCCTGTGAGTTGGTCCTGGGTATTGTTTTCCAGCAGTTCCAGCACTGATGTTATTACCCTGGGACTTCATCTGTCATGACTTCACTTTAGTGCAGGGTGAGAGATTCCGTTCATTCCTCTACAAGTGGGCGGGAGTTTTCCCGGAACACCGGGCACTGGCTTTCCTCCAAGGTGCTTTGGGCCCTTGGTCCAGGGTCAGATGCCTGGGGTCGTCCTCTTCCCTCTCTCCGTTCCACCCATCCGCAGTCTGATCTTGCCCAGTACCTGCTGTGTAGTCCCTGTAGCTTTGCCTTTACCTGTGACGCCTCCTGCTTCGGTCTTGTTGCTCAGGATTAGTTTCACTCTTCTGGATTTCTTCTGCTCCGTATTGATTTTAGGGTTGTTTTCCTCTAGCTCAGTGAAGGATACTGCTGGTGTTTGTCATGGCTTGTGTCTCAGTGGGGCTTTTTCAGATGTGGCTGGATCTAGAGTGTGTGATGCTGGGATCCAGGGTGCGTGTTTATGAAACCGCCCACGGATTAGTTTGGGATTGCCCTAAGCCTAGTGCCTCGGGAGAGTGTATGAGGGGCAGAAAGAAGCTGCTAAGGCCCCTTGGACTTGCTTCGTTGCTACTGTGCTGCTTTGCTGCCTGCTGCCTGCCATGAGCTATTTCTGCTCTGTGACGTACCTCTGCCACACCCGCCTGCCTTGGAGTCAGCCAGCTATGAACCGAAACCTGTACAAATCATGAGCCAAACTGACCTTCTCTCCTTAACTTTGAGTGTCAGGTACTCTATCTCAGCCGCAAGAAAGTAACTATGACAGTATTTTAGTAAGAACTGAATTAAATCTATGTGTCAGTTTTGGCAGTGTGGTTATTTTAATGGTACTGATTCTGCCTATCCAGGAACGGGGGACAGTTTTCCACGTCATGCCCCCTTTCTCCAGTCTCTTTCTTCAGAGTCCTGCAGTTTCTTCAGTTAGGCTAAGTCCTGGGTATTTGGTTCGCGGCTGCTGTGAATGGAACTGCGTTCCTGATTTCTTCTCCAGTGGTCCTGTTCCTCAGGTACAGGAACACGACTGGTTTCCAGGTACTGATTTTGCGTCTTGTCCCTAGGGATTGGCGTTACAATCACACAGACAAGAAGGAAGAAAATTTCCACCTCTGGAAATGTGAGTAAAACACTAGAAGAACAGAAAGAGGCACTCGGTGGAAAGAGAAAGGGCGGAAGTGCTGTGGGAGGCAAGGGAAAGGGCGGAAAGATGACCCAGGGAGAAAAAATTCAACTGCATTAGCACTGGACGGACAGTGCTGTTCCTGCCCACACTATCCCTGGGAACAGCCAGGCCTCCCTGATAGTGGGAATGAGAAAGGGAGGAATCACCTCCGTCGCACCCACACCAAATATTCTCCCGCTCTTGCTATATGCTGAATGTTGTCAATCATTTAAATTTTTAAAAAATTGCAATGAATGAGATAGGTCCTCCTCCATCAGATGCTAACTGAGGCCTCGAGGGAAAAGAAGCCCCAAAACACGTAAGGGATGGGGCTACTCCATCCTCTAACAACAATTCAGATTTGCCTGTCATTTCAGCCAGCAGAGAACCATCCTGCTCCCGCTCATACCTATTTCCAATCCTGGCCATACCAGGGCACCCAGGGCTCGGCCCCTAAGATGAAGCGGAGCAGTGGAGCCAGCAGCCAGCCGAGCCCTCTCCCCGCCCTGCAGCCTGGCCAGCACACTATCTGGGAGCTCGCCTAAGCTTTCTGGCTCTGTTCTCCCATGGGTTCTTCAGGAAGATGTTCACGGGCAGCAAGTGACCTGAGCAATTCGCAGAGGCAGGTATGGGAGCTCAGGAATATTTACACACAGATAACAGCCAGGGACAGACGCTGACAACGGGAATGTAGATACTGACCTCAGCTACATGTGAAAATACACCAGAAAAATACAAAAAATACACCAGAAAAAAAACCCATAATCAAAAAGATCCATATTTTCTTTAGGTGGTAATCAGAAAAGGCAAATGCATTTTTACAATAGACAATGATTTTGTTAGATCATCAAACCTAAAATAGTTCTGCACCGATAATAAGATCTCCAGATGACGCCAGAGATGTTAGGAAACCAGCCCTGCCCGCCTCACCTGATGAAAACCAGCTTCACTCTGCGTGGGGCTGTCTTGATGATGGCGGATGCGTTTTGATGGCTTCTCCCGTACAGGATCTGATTGTTTATCTGTTTGGGAAAAAAGAAAATGCACTTTAACAATGCAGTCTGAACGTACAAAACATAAATGTGCATACTTATACATGAATACAGCACACACATGGATATCTGGAATTAAACAAGTGTATTCACTTTTTTTTTTCTTCTTCTTCTTCTTTTTTATCGGTACCAGGGATCAAACTCATGACTGTCTGCTTTCAAGGCAGGCGCTTATGCCACTGAGCTAAATCCCCAGCCCCAGTGTATTCACTTTTAAGTGTACAGGACTACTCACACATGCGAAAATGTGAATGTTCCTGGTAGTAACAGATACAAACACCAACTCTCAGCTGCCATTAAAAACTCTGTGAACTCCATCCTTGACCTTTTGCTTTAAGAGAACTCCCTGAGCTCAATGCAAAGGCTTTGCGGTGAAGCCTTCATTTGTTATGGGTTCCTTAGGTTCCTACAAAATGTAGAAAACAGACTGAGCATTTGCCATGCTCGGCAGGCCGGGTGAGCCAGGTTTTGTATCTGGGTTCTCAGGAAGCACAGATTTAGCTACCAGGAAGAGGTACACAGGATGTTCCTGCGGGAAGTCAGATTTTAGGTCTACTGCAGAGAAATACTTCTGGTACACGAGCAGTGAGCCACCCGCTTGTGTCCAAGATGTGTTGGGGTTTTTAACCTGATTTGCTTCAACTAAGTACGATCTAAAAACACAGGATAGGAATTTTCCCTCCAGGTTTCCCATGGTGGGAATAGCTGTTGTCACGCTCTTCTCTCCTGCCCACAGCACCCATCTGGACCGGTGTCCTTGCCTCACAGTGGCCTGGTGCTATCCACTGTTGCCAGGACAGCACGGAGCCCTCCAGGAGTGGCTGGGAGAGGGGACAGAAGCCTTGCACGGTCAGCACTCAACCTGTCTGCCCAACAGCTCTGAAATGCCGCACTTGACAGAGAGCTCTGCTGTCACCACAGTCACAATGAGAAAGCGCAGATGCAGCCCTGGAACAGGAGGAGAGGTCTGAGTTTCAGCTGTCTGGAGAGGCAGGGCCCAACCTGCAGAGGCAAGGCTGGCTTGGTGTGCGATGCTGCTCTCTGTGAAAAATGCTTCACCCGCCTCTGCCTCTGCCCCAGCCCCTGCCCCTGCTCTTTACCCAGGCCCCCAGCCCACAGGAATCTGCTGATGCTGCGCGTCAGTCCTCCAGGCTCCTTCCCACACAGAATTAGGCACCTGCTTTTCCATTTCACTGAAGAGTTTTAGGAGTTCTGGCATTATCTGGTGTATTGGGATAAAGGTTTCTGAAGTGGTTTCCTGGATTTCGGTGGTGTTGGTAGTTTACTTGTTAACGGCCATTGTGTACCATGTGGTACAAAGGACAGGGGTTGCCATCCTGAGGCCCAGGGTGCTACTGCTTCATATGGCAGGAGGGATCCCCCAGCTCTGGACCAAGCTGGCCCTTTGCACTAAGAGCGCTGCACCCTGCCTCTGCGTTTGCTGAAGTCCAACCCTAGGAAGGTGGGGTGCTGAGGTGGGACAAGGGCAGAGCCCACAGTGGGGCGGTATCCTCGGTGCTGGTGCTGCTGGCACCTGAGATGATGGCAGGAAGGAACCATCTGTCACCAAGAGGGTCTCAAAGAAGGTGGACCAATATCTCGGCTTGGAGAGAAACGCATGCCATGGCTCCACCTCCAATTCACAGCACTCGGGGCAATGCAGGCACTGGCTGAGAACGTGAACCAATTTCTGTTCCTGCAGTTGAGTTCCACAGACACAGCCATGGGGCCCTTACTGCTCTAAATGCTGATTTCCACATGCAGGGGACAGAGCCTGGGCCACCCTGTCTCCTCAGACACTCAGAACTTTGCTGGGGTCCACAAGGAGTGAAAGGGAAAGGGTCCTCTGCTCTGGGGCACTGTCACACTCTAGACCTCAATTTTGGTTTTCTCTGCTGTTTTTGGCTTTTCCCTCTGCTTCCTGACAAGGATGATGGCCCACACCGAGGACCCAAACCCGCACATGCATCGCTGCAATTAACCCTGAACACTGAGGTTTTAGTTTAGGAAACAACTCAGACATGTGCTGATGAGGACGGCTCTGCAGCCTGGTGGGAATCCATGCCACTGGTCACCCCATGCTCCAGGTGTCTGGTCCTGGGTGGGGAGCAGTGGGCACTGCATGGCGAAATTAGTTTACTCTTCTTGGGTTCCAAATTTCCAGATTATAGCAGCTCTGACAATGGGGACTGATCAGGCCTGCAAGCTCCCAAGCTGGTAAGCAGCAAAGGCTTAACTGAAAGAGACAAGTGGTGTGATTTCAGGGTTCTGGGAGGTTCTAAAACCTCTAGCAGAATTCAAGTTTCTGGGGGCTGAGACAAAGAACTTCTCCGGATGGCCTGTATTTATTTGTTTTTCAAACAAGGGAAGGGGTTAAAGTGGAAAGTGCACAGGACCTTGGGAACCATTCAAAGACTTCTCCAAAAGTACATCGTGCTGGTTAAGAGGACTAGCTGCCTCCAGTCTGACCTTCACACAGCATGAGATGCCTGCAGCTGCAGTCTCTATTTAGTTAATATGGGTGGGAGCCAGGCATCCTCAGCTGTGGCCTTACCTTGTCCTTGGTACCCTCACGGCATCACAGGCCACTACAGACCTCAGCTGGGACCAGTGATTCCTAGAGGGTCACTTACTGTGAATCTGCTGCCCATCTCAGACCAGGGGCCTCGGCCTGGGACAGGCTCACTGGTAAACATGGAAGGCCATCGGAGTAATTTTAAATCCTGCTCCAAGTCTCTTCATCTGACATCAGCCCCAAACCAGAGCGTCTGCTCTGCACTACCCAGGGCTTTCACCACTGACCTTCCCCTCACACCGTGGCTTCTGCTGCTGTAGAAGGGGCGGGGAGCCCAACGTGAGCCCAGCCTCCTAAGTTCAACAACAGGACTTTCACAGTGTGTGTAGAAGCGAATGAGTGCGAATCCAGTGATGACTCCACAAAAGCAAAGCATGTAAATCCTTTTTTAACACCACGTAATCTTCACTTCAGGGGTCTCTAATGAGATTTGTTTCAATAATGTTAATTATTCAAAAATACCAAGAGAAGAAGGGTTTTCAATTACTCTTCATTTTTCACAGTTCAACTGAACATGAGTATAAATTTCTGCTCAAAAGTAGTTCCATTAAATCCACTCAAAAGACATTCCAAATTAGAAGAAAAACTTAATTAAGAAGCAAGGATTGAAAGTATTAATTATACAAAAGTTAAAATTTAGTTCAAGTAACAGATTCGCCTGAGGATTGAATATGTCATAACTTATTATACTCAACAATACCCTTGCTAATGTTTTTTTAAAAAACAAAAGGATTTATTATGAAAGTAATGAATTATTACTAGAGATTTGAGTTGAAATTCATAGTAACTGAATTGCTGGAAACAGCATCTCAAAGCCGCCTCCTCCATCTACTTTCAAATATATTCTAAACTTCACATTTTAAGACACTAGAATTTTTAGAATGTTTTCTTTTATTAATTCTTTATTGAATAAAACATATGCAGAAAAAAAGAAAATAAGTTTTTAACGATGAATAACTTTATAGCTTAACTTCTGGCCTAGTAATTCTGTAGCTAAGGACCTAAAAAGATTAAAAAATAAAGCATCAAACTGTCTATCCTGCTAAACCTGTAATGAGAAAAAACCCAGGCAGAAATGGGGGCACACGCCTGTAACCTCAGCACTCACAAGGCTGAAGCAAGGGAATCACTGTGAGTCTGAGGCCAGCCTGGGTTACACACTGAGTCCTTGCCTCAAAATTTTTTTAAAAAGTTGAGCTGGATCAGGTGGTGCACTTGAGAGGCTGAGGCAGGAGGACAGCCACAAGTCTGAAGATGAACCATTGGCCTTTTGCACCTCCGTGAGATACATATGGGTTATATGGCGAGTTCAAGGCCGGCTGGAACTGCCTGGTGAGACCCTGTCTTACAAAACTAAAACAAAACCATACATAAACAAACAGCAGAGAAACTACAACAAAAGATTTATATATCAACAAAAGAGTACTGCATTTATCATCATGTGTCAACAAATGGAAAACCACTCCCTTAAGGAGGTGTGGTATGATAACATATCTAGTTGTGTTATCATGAAAGCAGAACATTGTGGAGTGAAGAAAATAAAAAATATGTGACACTTCTATCATCTGCGTTTTTAAGAAGTTTCCATGTGAGTTTAAGGAAAGCTCCAGGTTTCTGCAATGTCAGACAGCAGTGTCTCTGGCTGTCGGGCTGAGACTACTTTTTTACAGCCTAGACAAGGCCTGACCCCCTTGAAGAACAAGTGTCCTCCCCGGCCCAGGGTACCGGTCCCAAGAGGCAGACGTTAGCTGTCTTACTCTTTTTGTTGACACTCAAAGCCAGAGAAGGACAGATTTATTTGGTTCACAGCTTGTGGAGGTTTCAGCCTACATCTGGCTGGCTCCGAGGCAGGGTGGATGGCAAATGAGGGAAGAGAAGCAGCAGCCTCTCTTAGTCCTTCTAGGTCACTTGCCCTTAGAGTGCTGCCACCCATACCAGGGGCCTTCCTGCTAGCCACACCCAGAACCGTGCCAACCAGTCAGTGGATTAATTTAGTAACCACACACCCTTAACTCTTAGCACACACCTAGGTCCAGCCGTGACTGTGGAGGCTCTGGGGGACACTCACGGCACTGCTTTCTTACTTCCTGGTGGGATGTGTGTGAAATGTGTCGGACAGCTTCTTCAGCAGCATGCACCTGTCAGGTCGACATGGTCTGGTGACACCAGGTGCTACCTTGGGCAGTGGACAGAGATAACCTGAGGTCACAGTTTCTCAGCCCCAGGTTTCTGTTGCCTGTGGTCAACTGGGTGAAAATATTTGATGGAAAATTCCAGAAATAATCTTTTTTATAGTTAACATACAATAAAGTAAACATATTTACTGATCAGTGTTCACGTCTGTGCACACCTGCGTGTCTATCACTATAATCAACACAGTGAACACCTCCATCGGCCCAGGGGTGTCTCAGGCCTTTAGAAGCTTCTCTCACTCTCCTTTTCCTCTCTTCTGTGCATCTGCTTGTTCACGGTGTGTGCTGTCCTGTGTCTGTGCACTCATGCTCACACATGTGTGTGTTGAGAAAAGTCTCACTGTGTGACCCTAGCTGACTTGGAACTTGTGATCTTCCTGTCTCAGCCTCCTGAGTGCTGGGATTATAGGCAAGTGCTATCTTGCTGGCCTTTACCATTTCCACAACCTGTAAGTTTTAACCAGGCTTCATTCTGAGCAGCAGGACAGACCCCTGCCTGGGGTGTGACCCAACCCTCTGTCCAGCCTGTTTACACCATGTGCTGCATGTACTCGCCTCGGAGCCATCTACTACTAGATGGACCAGGTCCCTATGACCCCATGTGACAGTGCTGCTGGACCAGGTGCAGGGGAGAGAGCTTTCTCTACGTGAGAGTGTGAAGTGATAGGAGACACCTGGAGAGATGGAGGCACGGAACTGTTACCGTACCCAACTGTCCCAGTCCATCATTACTGCTGCTAACTTATATGTTAAACTTCATCACACGTATGTACAAGGAGGACCCATGGCACACACAGGGACGGAGCTCTGGTCCCCAGCAGCCATAGGGTCCCAGACGCTTCCTCACTGCCACGGTGGCTGGGGAGTCACTGGGTGTTAGTGGAAATAAGGCAAAACACAGAAATAGTGTGCTGTGGCTGGGACCCCCAGCACCATCCTCCTGGTTGCATCTGGTCACCAGGACAGTAGTGAGTGGAGACGGCAGGGTCTGGACAGACCAGCGCTGGGCCAGGTCTCCTAATGGTCAGGAGAGAAGGGCAAACCAATTGCTCCTTCTGGGAGGGAGGTGCATTCCCCAGCACAGCTGCTCCCTGGTTGTTTTTCTATTTTGCATTTTCCTCAGTAATCAATTTCTCCAACCACATTCATTTTTACTTTCTGGTTTCACAGCACTTCCTCGCAGGAGTGTGAGACAACCTGGCTCAGCGCAGCCAGCAACGAGCCTCAGTGGAGCAGCAACAAGGACTGCCGTTCCTGCCAGACAACACTAGCTGGAATTCGGACTTCTGTCCTACATATTCCAGTGACATAGAGACAGTGAGGTGTAACCGAAAAGTTCAAACTTCCCCTCGAGAGGTGAGTCAGAAAGAAGAGGACAAAAATGAAGCTCAGGGGCTTCCCAGCAGGAACAGGAAAGGACAAAGCGGCTGTCTCCAGTTAGATGTGCAGACCTCCTCCGAGCAAGGCCGGGCCTGAAAGAGATTATTTTTCTTCTCTGCATCTTAAGAGATGGGTGTAGTGCACTGATAGCATTTTTTTGAAGTGAATTCAGAGTGGCAATGAATGCCAAGAGGATAAGCAGAACAGAGGCATTACAGCATGAGAGGTCCTCTCTGATGCTCATATGGTTTGTGTCTGGATGACCCCCAAAGCCTCATGAGTCCTGGGGGGCTGCTCTGCAGAGGTGGCTGAATCTAGAGCTTGTGACTGACTCACAGCCCAGTGCTGGGGCTACAGTGCCAGGCTGCACCTGCCTTGGGCAGACAGCCTGCACACAATACAAGGACAGTAGGAGGTCTGTCCCTTCTCTCTTCCTGATGCTTTTGCTGTGTTCTGCCACCATGAACTGCACCCCCACACCCTACCCGGCCACCCTGCCTTGGAGCCAGCAACTGTGGTTCCAGGAATCAAACTCAGGACCTTGTACTTGTGCCGCTGAGCTATACCCTGGCCTCCTCCTTTAACTTTGGGTGCCAACACTTTGTCTCATCAATGAGAAAAGTAGTTAAGACAGATGCTTTATGCTGGTGTCACATGAGCTGCATTCATCTACGCCTGCATCAACACCAAAATGACAAGCTGAGGATTCCCTTACCACCCTCCAGGGAAACGATTAACCCAGAATTAAATCGGAGAAGCCACTGACCCTGCCTCTTCCTTCCCCGCTTCCTTAGGATACAGATGGGGTCCAGACAGCCCTCTCCTGGGGTGCTAGAGAAGCTAATGGTAGCACAGTTCTTGAAACAGCCACCCCCACCACCTTCTCCCTACGTGAGCGAGCCCTTCATGTGGAAAGCAGACACTTTCTACTGGTTACTGAGAGACGGGGTCAGCCAAGCTCTGCCTTCCAGTGCAGATTTCCTGGTGACTCCGGAGCTGAGCTGGGGGCAGTGACAACCCCAGGATGGGGTGTAGGGTGGGGCCACCCTCAGTACCTCCAAACAACACTTATTTTTGTTGGGTATGAGTTTTCAAACAGCTTCCCTGAGATTTGATTGCTATATGACAAAATCATATCTAGAACGAGAAAGCACTGGTACCTCTGTTCCACCTGAACCCACTGGTGTGATAAAAAATGTGATCAATCTCCTTTAGCGTTATTAACTATTATGACGCTATCTCCAGTAGTGAAGTTATAGGAAAAAATAACCGCACTATAATTTTGAAATCCTCTGCTCTCAAATTATTGGTTCTACACAGGAGTATTTTATAGCCTGGACCACCAGGGCATAGTTACTGAGTTAAGAAACAAACTTCATAGAGCTGCATCTGGGTACAGTAGGTACTGATCCAAAAAGTCGATCTAGGCCACAGAAACATCTGACTGGAAGTTATCAGTAATTTTGTCTGTGTATACAAAACAGCCAGTGATTTATTTACTACCGTGTGCCACTTTTGGGTCCCATTTAGGTCTTCACAAGATTTTAGAAATTTAACTCCCTGGGCACAAACAGCACAGGATAAATGGCTGGCGCTCAGTGGCTTTGCCTTGGAGCAGCCAAAGGCATCGGCTTGGTCACCTGGCTTCAGTCCTTCCTCTTAGTAAGTGGAAGCAGCCAGAAGGTACTCAGACTTCACCTGTGGTTCCACATCTTTATCCCAGTGCACGTGGGAAACATCTGTGCTGTGGATTTAAGCCACACCAGGCAGGGACACCCGGCACGCCGAGCTCAGCCACACTGCAGGTGCACATGGGAAGGGGAAACACCTCCCATTTTTCCGTGATCAGAAACTGGGGGGCTGCACGTAACTCCCACCCACGCACCACCTTGGCCACCCTGCTCCCAGCATCTGCTGGGCCCATCCGTGTCCAGCCCCAGCAACTCACTGTCACCCTGTGCACTGGGGAAGGGTGTGAGTACGGTCTGTGTCTGAGGGTGTGGGTGCCTGGCCCCCTACTCAGGGAGAGCCAGCCCCTTGGGACCTTGCCTTCCCATCTGTGTCTGAGGGTGTGGGTGCCTGGCCCCCTGCTCAGGGAGAGCCAGCCCCTCAGGACCTTGCCTTCCCGTGTGTGAGGCCATCTTCCACCCATGATTCTGGAAGTCGATTCAATGAGCAACCTCATCATGAAAAGAAAAGCAAGGCCCCGGGCCAGTGTGGAGAGCTGTGCCCTTGGCATGGGGCCCAGCAGGCTGTCTCCATGACCTACCTCCTGCGCAGTGGCCTGGACACATCTAGCAGGTTGCGCCCTGGGGGACTCAGCATCTGACCCTGGGTGATGGGAATGGTGAGTGAGCCACCTGTGTCTCTGGGACTGGTTCCCTGGGCGAAGTCTTTCCCATCTGCTCTTCCCCACCAGGGTGGGAGCAATCTGAACTGAGGTAATGGATATTTCCGCCTCCCTTCACACCCTCACAGACACTCACAGCATGGGGATTGAATGAATGCATGAACGAACAGCAAACGAAGCTCAGGGTGGCATAGAAGCCCTGGCTGTGCGTGCAGGAAAATAAGAGCAATCTCGTGCAGGCAGTCATGAACAGAGGAACCCTCCACCCTGGCTGACTTAATCCCCACCCTCCTGATCAAAGGGCCCATGAGGCCATAACCCCCAAGCCACCTCGGAAATGCCACCCGAGGGACCTGGGCCGCTCCTGATGCAAGGGCATGGGTTTTGCTGGCTCTGGCACCCTCCTTACCAACCCAAAGTGCAAGTGTGCTTGGGTCTCAGTGTGACCCTGATGCACACTCACGCCTCTGGTTCATACGCAGCCCTGCTGCATCCTGGGTCAAGCTCCTTGAAAAGTGCTTTCAAAAGGCTGACGAAAACATGGCCAAACCTCTCCCCGTACCGCCTGCTGCCCTCACCTCCAGGAGCTCGTCTCCCACGCGCATCCGCCCGTCCACAGCTGCAGGACTCCCCGGCTGGATCCCCACCACGAAGATACTCATCAGGGACCGGTCCTTGTTCCCCGCCAGACTGAGGCCCAGCCCCTGCCTGTCCTTCTCCAGCTCAATGATGTGCAGCTCGCCAGGCAGGTCTGCATATCTCTGCCTGATTTTCTCTATAATAAAAAGACAAAGAAGAAAGTTCAATTAGACAATGGCCGACCCTCTGGTAAGAGGTCAGTGCAGCGAGCTCTGGCCAGTAAAGCCAGTCTAGGCACACGCTACTTATTTTAGAAAGAGAATAAGTCTGCTTTACAAAGATTTGAAAAGAATCTTAAAGGACTTGCAAAAACTTGTAATAAAGAACACAGTTTGCAAAATACAGTAAGATGAAAGGACTTGCAATGTAATAAAGCAGTGAATAAACTCAGGGTGGCTTTACTGGCCAGCTACTGGGAACAAGCCGCTGAAGGAATGGGGACCGGGAGCTGGGGCCCCAAGATGCCCACACAGCACCCTACACAACAGAGGTTAAACAGTTTAAACAGGTTAACCCGTTTAAATAAAAGCTCTGACCCCCATGGCTGCTGGGCACCAGGAAATGCTAATTTATTGGTAAGTTCTATCGGCTGTGCCAGTGTTTAGAATTCAAGGAACCGACACGGCTGGAAGAATTTTCTGGGTCGGGGGGACGACTCGGCCCGGGATCCCACAAGCAGAGAGGCCGGTTGGGCAGGGCTGCTGGACCCGGGGCAGGTGTGGGGTGTGGGGCACAAGTTAGAAGTTCCGTGGGTCGGGGGTGGAGGGGTAAGACTGAGGCTGAAGGTGAAGTTTCCAGAAATGACACAGAGGTGCCCAGGTCTGAGAGGGCCCTGGGGGAGTTGGATCTGAGGTTCTAGACCCACGCACTCTCAGCTGCCCCTGCTGCTTCCGGGCCTTACAGGAGGTTGGGAAAGGAACAGTACCCCACCAAGGAAATTACACGGAGCGAAAAGCTCTGACACCCCCAAGATACAATAAGGAGGGAAATCATTAAAAAGTAAGTGAGGACTTAAGGAAAAGTAAGATCAGGGTAATACACACACGTGAGCTCCCCAACCACAGAAAAGACTTTTGAGCAACTGTACCTAAAACATTTACAGAAAGTGTGTTTTGGTGTCGCCACAAAACTGAGTCCAGGAAAGGAACGACACCCTAGGAAGTCAGGAGGCAGTGAACAGATTTGTTTTACACTGCTGGCCCTGGCTGGAGTAATTTCCACCAAAAGCCAGGCAGCCCAGTGTCTGTGAGCCAGCATTTTATACAAGGTACAAGCAGGGGTGAGGAAGGTGGGACAGGAAGCCTGGCAGTCTCTGATTAGTTGGCAGGGTGAGGTCATTGGTTAAGGGCTAGATTAATGACCATCAGTTACAATGAGTGACCATAAAACTCAGTACAGTCAGGGTCAGTTACACTCTTGTTGTTACAGGGTCGCAAAAGCAACTATAGAGCCACAAAAGAGTGACAGAGCTAGGCAGTTCCCAAACAACAAAGTTTTAAGAAAAAACATTTTCTCTTGTAAAGTTTTCCCTTTCATTGGGCCAAATAGCAACCTCAATAACAAAGAATCCACATCACAGGCTTGTGTTCTTGGAATGCAGCTTAATAAACTCAAAACATTGTAAGTGAATTACAAAAAAAATAATTTTTTAAATCCTCTGCATTTACAAATAGTATTAATAAAAAGCCCGAAAATTACAATCCTAGGTTTCCAACTTAACAGAGGCAGTTAAAGGAGAACTTGGAAAGTTAATTCATGTTGACTAATTCACCAGACGAAAAGAAATGTTAAAAAAAAAAGTAAGACATGATACTAACAAAGTTAGAAAAGGAAGTGTAAAGCAAATGCAAAGAAGGGAAAATCGGCATGTATAAAGGCATCTATTAATGAGAATAGAATTATCCAAGCCAATCAAAATGAAGTTACCCCAAAATATCACATAGAGATCAATGAAGCTCACAGCTAGTTCTTTAAATATTAGATCATGTGTACACGTACTAAAACAGCGTATTACCCCAGTAATATGTAGAATTTTATGTTAATGGTTAAAAGTTTAGTTAAAAAAGAAAAGCTAGTTGTTAGAAAACAGTAAGACTGAAAAAAACTGAAAGAAGAAAAAATACAAATAAATTATAGAACTAAAAAAGGGAACTAATATCTGACAGTTTTTTCATGTGAAATGATTATGGGTAGCACCATCATTATGAACTATAGTGGCAGTTTAAAATATGTGGGACAGGCACATTCCTCCAAGGATGTGAAAGTCACACTTACTGTAAGAATAAATATAAATCTGTAATGGAGTAGTAATTTTAAAAGAAATTGAAATATATAATATTCCCTTTCATAAAAAACTCAGTGCTAGATGGTTTTATATTTCAATTTGGTAAAATTTCAAGCTAATAAACTTTTTCCTTATTTGTTCCAGAACATGAAAAAGTAACTTTAAAATTTTTCTGGCTTCACTTTTTGAGGATAGAAGAATCCTGATTATAAGTTCCATAATAGATAAACACACAAAAAAGATTCTACTTATATTTTCAGGATCGCTAATGTAAAAGTCTTTTTGAAAAGGCTAATTTAATCCAATAGTATATAAAAATATTTAACTTGGTCTCTATGTGTCAAGAAATATTTGACCATTTTTGGACCAAAAAACTTCGAGTCAGCCTAAGAAAGTAACATGTGGAAAAGTGTATTTCAGAAATGTAAAGACAGTTAAATGTCAGAAAGTCTTTCAAGAAGGACCATCACATCAGCAAAATACAGGAAATTCAAAGAGTATATTACAGGATAGAACAAGCATTCAATTAAATATGTCTATTTAAGATTAAGAATAAAATAGCTGACAAAACAAAATAGAAAGGTATTTTTTACACCTAAATTTACAGGTGGAAAAATTACACTAAAAGGTATTTTCAGTATTTTAATCTAACAAAGAATTAACATCTAGGGAAACTGAGATCCTGGAGGGGCCGACGGGGCACACTTCTGGGGTGTCACGCGCCCTGTCTCTGGGGTCTGTGTCTGATCCCAGGCCCCCGACATTCCAGCTCTGCTTCCCTGCTCTGCTTCGGCTGCGTGAACTCAGCAGCTTGGCTCAGCCGCACCCTCTGTCACCCTCTGACGTCTGCCTTGGAGTCATGGCTCACAGATTGAATGCCCTCACAGTGTTACCAAAGTAAAGCTCTCCTTGAAGTTGTGAGTTTCAGGCATTGTGGCAGTAATAGGGAAGGGTGACTAAAGTAGAAAATCAGCACCAAAAGTGGATCCTGGATATGACTGTACCGGACCATGTGGCTTAGAACTCTTGGAATTGGTGTGTGGGGAACATTTGGAAAGGTCTGGAGATGCTGGTTAGAGAAGCACTGGAAAGCTGTGAGTGGGGGTTGATACACTGGTGATTCTGGTAGGAGAGCAGAAGACCAGACGCTGATAGGAACACAGGAAAGGCCAGGCTCAGGAAATTTCCGTTGGGAATAAAGGCTCCATTGGAAGCTGGATTAGGGGCCATGTGTGTCAGCTTAGCAAAAGTATTTATGTGTATTTTTCCCAGATCCTGAAAATTTGCAAGAAACTGATGTTAAAAGGTGAACTGCTTGATCTGACGGAAGAAATTAAAGGCCGTCCAATCTTTGTGCTGTAGTATGATCATTATTGGTTTTTTTCAGTCAGATTTATAGTGAGAATTAGGGATAAAAAGCAAAACACGATTTAAAAACTTACATTTTGACCCAGCAATAACCATATACAACAGAATCCAAGAGCTATAGGGTCAGGAAGGCTTCTTTCCAGATTTCTTTAAGACAGGGTCTCACTGTGTAGTTCAGGCTGGCCTTGAGCTTGCTTTGTAGCCCAAGCTGGTCTTGAACTCACGGCAATCCTCTGGCCTCAGCTTCCTGAGTGCTGGAATTACAGGTGTGTGCCAGCATGCCTGGCTCCCTCCAGATTTCTAAGGAATGCCTGAGTCCAGGCACAGCACTCCTGGGAGGATGGTATGCGGAGCTGTGGGGATAAAGTCAAATGTGCAGACCCAAGGCAGCTGGCTCTCCGTGGACATGAATGTGTGGCAAAGAAAAGTACAGAGCCACAGAGAGGCTACGTGGGCTGTGGCAGGCGAGCCCACCGGGTGGGAGCCCAACCCTTCCAGCTCGCATTGGGCCATTGTGTCCCCCACATGCTGGAAATGGAGTTATGTTGGCCAGCTGAGGTTCAATCTTGCTTGGTCCCTTCCTTCCTGTCCCCCTTTTAGAATGGTAATGTTTACCTGTGGCACCTGTGTTTACCTGGGGATTATGTAACTTGTTTATTTTTACAGAGGTTCATAGTTTAGTCTGTGACAGGTCTTAGAAGTGATTTGGATTTGAACTTTCAAAAATTGCCAGCACTGTTGGACTTTGGGGAAGGACTGTATTTGTGGCTGTGTGCAGGACACTGTGTCCTTCAGGTGGAATTAGGCAGCGGCCACTGTCTTAACTGGGAGGCCAAGTATGGTTTAAGGAGCTGTTTGTGGGTGGAGAGTTAAGGGAGTAGATGGGTGGTTAGGAGGTTCCTCGCTGAGACTGGGTTTGGAAGCACTGGGCAGCTGGGGGAGCACTGGGTGTGGATGCTGGGGGAGCACTGTGGATGTCTCATGGAGCTGCGGCTTTGGGGTCTGCGTCCTCCCTCTCCCTTCTGCTCCAGCACTGCTTCCTGCTCTGCTTCTGGCCACCAGCAGCTATATAACTTCATTCCACCATGAACTTCATTCCCTTCCAAGGGACGTTCCTGCCCTAGGGCTAAGATGCTGGATACTGCCAAAACCTTTCATCTAATACCTGTTTCCTTTCCTGCCTTTTATCGGTAGGGTCGCCTCGCCTCTGCCCCCTCCTGAAACAACTCCCCTGAGGCCACCCAGCCAAGCTGAAGAGACAAGGACGCAAACCCAGCTCCAGGTCCTCACAGTGCCTTGAAAGCATCTTTCTAGGTTTCTTGCTGCTTTCTCTGCCTCTCCCTCGTAGAAAACTCTGTGGCTGTCTCCGCTCCTACCACAGTGCCTGGCAAGCATCACCTTCAGTCTCAGGCTTGCAAAATCGCAAGCAAGGGATCTCAGAGGTGCTCTGTAACTGCTCTGCCACACAACACTGCTCCCAAAGA